CACAATCAGGTGTACGCTAGTTAATTTTGTATGATTTGTAAAATAAACGATTGCATACAATGGTTCAAATCAACATTCACTGACTGAGAGTTACTTTTTGTGTCCATTCATTTTTGCACTAAAGAAATGTTTATCCAAAATAAAAGAGATCCTTGCTAATTAAATTACTTTTATAACCTTGTTAAAAGAAGTGTAAGCTGACCCTTACAAAAGATTTTAGTTACCGGTAGTTACCGTTTTATCATTTTATTACTGTTTTTATTTATTTTAGTTAACTAAAATGTTTTTTCAATTTCAGTTTTCGTTATTTAGTTAGTTTTAGTTAACTATAATAATCCTGTGTCGCACACACAAACCGTTTTTCTATTGCTTGGGCGATGAGAACACTGAAGCACTGGTGGAGACAAGAACATGATTTTGATTCCACAAGAGAAACCTGACACTGTTCACATGACATCCAAAACAGGATAAAATGATAACTTAAGGACTTTAATATTAACTTGTTTAGTGTGCACAGTTTTACCTCACAGCCTAGCTTTCTGTGCCATGTTTGATGTCTATTATACACAAATAGAATAACTAAATGTTTTAAATAAACCGTTAATTTACAAAAACAATGGTATTCTAAATGAAACACATCTATAAGAATTAATGGAAGATTTGTAGTTTAAGCAACATAAAAGGATGAAATGATGCCAAAGCACCACAGCAGACATCAAAGCAGGGACAGGTAAATCCTGTCATATGGAACCAAAGTGAACTTTACAGCTTTAAAATATGCAGAGGTTCTTTTCTTTTGTCTTTTGCAGACTTGATCTTAGTCCTTTTCTTTTCCCCTCGTCCAACAGGCTCCTGCAGCATCTGATAACTCAGAGTCCACAATGGTTCTGAGCCCGTCCAACACTACCCGACTGAAGTATATGTCCCTGGGGGTGCTGGTGCTGCAGACCACCTCGCTGGTGCTGACCATGCGCTACTCCCGTACCGTAAAGGAAGACAGTCCCACCTATCTGGCCTCGTCTGCTGTGGTGTCCGCTGAAGTCCTCAAGATCTTCACCTGCATCTTCCTCGTTTTGATAGAAAACAGTAAGTTGAAGTCACTCAAAGTGTAACAATTATGATCTCTGCTTTCTCTTTTTGAGTTGATCTGAAGATGTGGTGTAATTCAATTGGTTCATTCATCGCTTAAGCCCAGCCCCCCGGTTTCTACTTTAATTACCATGAGTTCTTTTAGTTAGTCATAGACGTGTTTGGTATCTACAGATAAATCAGAATCTTGTCTACAAGCTGGTAAAAACCATTTCTATGAACACTCAAGACAGTTAAAATTACAAACAGTTGAAGATAAAACTTTGAAAGAGAAAATAAATTGATTTAAAAATTTGACAAGTCAGAGATGTCAAAATATTTGTGTCAAATATGAGGCATAATGTTGTTTTTTTTGTTTTGTTTTTGATATTGTTTTATCATCACTACTTTTATTACAGTGGGTTCTGTTTTCATGATTAAATACAGCAAAAATAAACCATATCAAAGGTAACAGATCTTTGTAATACTTGGTTTATTTACATAATAACTTTAATTACTGGATGTTCGGCCCCTCGGCTGTTGACCTGCATTAACTCTGGCCCCTGGAGCAGTTTAGTTGAATAGCCCTGGTAAAGTGTGATCATCAGCCTGGTGTTAGAACTGTTTACATTCTGTTTTTTTCCTCAGTCTACACTCATTACCAAATAACACCTGACTTATGTCTTACAAAATGTTGTAAATGTATTTAAAAAACTGAAATATCATCATGAACCACGGTGGAAGTAGACTGTGACCAAGTGATCTCTCTTATTTCATTGTTGAGCTCATCAGTGCCTGCAGGTCCACACCCCCCAAATTACCAATCCTGTTACACAACACTGTCTCAAAATCTGTTCCAGTTTACGAAGCACTTTCATTTTAAACATAAAACATAAATATTAAATTTAAACCGTTGTATAAAATTCAGTTTTTACTTTGTCATCATATAAAATTCAGTTTTTACTATGTCATCATGGGGTTTTAAACAGCAGTGTCTGTTCTCGCCTTTGAATAATCATCAATTTCAACTGTCCGAAAATGATGCAGCATTGCAAATTTAAAACATTGATAAAGATCTTTTTAAGATACACTCATGTACTGCAGGAATGTCACAATATTCCAAAAAAAATTTTTTTTAGATTTCTGCAACTTATGTTTCTCAGCAAATATTTCTCTCTCTCCCATCTTTGTCAATAAAGAATGTTATTGATGGCTCTTAATCTATGCACAGAATATGAATCATTTAGCATGAGAAAAGAGAAGGAAAGCTGCTTATGAAGTATTCATTTTTCTTTTATTAGACAGTGTCCAATACAATTCAAGGTCTTATGTCATCTGTATTACCACAATGATAAGCCTTCTAGAACAGTGGTTCCCAAACTTTTTATCTTCTGACCCACAAAATATCCATGGCAAAAACTTGTGACCCCAAATATTACTGGTCTGAGTACAAGAACTTTGTTAATAACCCTGAAAACAAAGGCTACACAAATATAAATACTTATTTATACTTATTTTGTGTTTTTTGTAATAATTATAAGGAAAATATTACATCAGTTATTATTTTATTACCCTTTAAATTGATTTCTGGAGATTATCCAAGGTGCTTCATGACCCATAATTGGGTCCCAAGCCCAACTTTGGGAACCAAAGTGCACTGGTTCCAAAACTTTTCAGCTTTGGACCCACAAAGTAACAGTAGCAGAGACCTGAGCCCCCAACTTTTTTTGTATGATAAACATTTGTATCAGGTCAACTAAACATGGGCATAGTAACAATATTTTTATACTACATTTATCCATTTTAAATACACTAACTTCACTCCTTTGTAAAGCTAAGGCAAAAATGTAATTTATTTAGAAAATCTTTTCAGGACCCCACCTTGATGTTTCGGGACCCCACTTTGGGTCCCGACCCCAACTTTGGGAAACACTGTTCTAGAATATACCCCAGTGCTGACCCAACATGTATAAGTTATCATGCAGATCGGGCTACATTAGGTCATTTGGAAGAACTCTAATGCCTTCAACCCATGTCCTTTGGGATCTTTCCTCCAGAGGTCAGAGTCTCTGAAATCTGGGCTAAAGCAACAGTGTTTGCCTCATTAATACCTCATTAATACTTCCTCATTAATACCTCGTAGGCTCATTCTTCTTCTTTGGAAATCTGACAACCCCCTGCTTTTGATTGTTGGATCAAAGAGATRCTGTAGAAAGAGATGTCATGAAAAYATTACAGAGACTTGGTCGCCACTCATTATGTGAAAAAATAGATATTTCATTAAACTATTCAAGCTTTTCTAAGAATASGACTGTCCTGTACCTTGTCTCAGATCCTGTTTGGGATGAATGGTCAAGGTGCAGTCGTGGAGAGGAGGGTGTCTGGTTTGATAGCCTGGCCCTTGCCTTCTGCTCAGTTCTAGTTTCCCTTCTGTGCTCTSTCTGGGATTTCTCTCATAGACAAGAATTTCAATTCCATTCAATTCCATTTATTTATAAAGCACCAAGTCACAACTGTTGTCTCAGGGCACTGTACACAAAAAAAATAAAAAATAAACAATAAATCTAAAGAAGTCAATAGACTGCACAGAATCTTTGCTTCGTCACACAGTCTCCCATCCTGAGCAGCACACCGGCAGCAGTGGAGAGGAAAAACTCCCCATTTTTCTCTGGTAGAATATCAACCCAGGTGGGTCTTTGCTTCAGGTGGAGTTGCAGTAAATGGGAGTATTCCTTCAAAGTGACGGTTGGAAAAGTGAGAGATGAATGACTGGGCCCTCGTCCTCAACAATGGGGGTGTGGCTTCAGTCGGCCGTGGTGAAGAAAGAGTCAAAAGGCAAAATTCAGTTTTCTGGTCCTTCTATGTTTCAACCCTCACCTGTGGTATGGAGAATATGAATCATGAGATCCCAGATACAAGCAGCCAAAATGATTTTCCATCTTAGAATTGGGCTCAGCATCAGAGATAAGGTGAGGAGCTCCATCATCTGAGGAGAGCTCAGGTAGAGCTGCTGCTCCTCTGCATCAAAAGGAGTCTGTTGAGGTGGTTCAGGTAACTGAGCTCTGATTGTCTGCAGAGAGGTGTGTACCTTTTCAAATCATAAAGGCCCTGTCATGTACTGTTTTAGATTACTTAGGCCAACTTATGACATTTTCTATGTCCAAATTCCTGATAAGTTATATATTTATCAATTTGTTAGCATTACAGTATGTACATGTAAAAAAGAGGTTTCCAGTTGATATTTAATTCCATATTCAATGTAGATGTCTTTAAAAATTTTCATAAGTTGCCATAAGTTGTCTAAAACATTATAGTGTGCCAGGGCCTTAAAGTAATTTACAACTTACAATGTTGAAACATCACAGCATCAAAGGAAATGAGAGGCGTTTGTGCTAAATGTGGTGTGATGTTGCAATTTGACACCTTTTTTTTTTTTTAAATAAATTTAAACCGTTGTGTAAAATTCAGTTTTTACTTTGTCATCATGGGGTTTTGAGTGCATATTATTGTAAAAGAAATAATTCTAGCATTAGGCAGCACTGAATAAATGTGAAAAAGATCTGAATACTTTGTGGAGCGGCTGTATTTATGAGGTGGTCCTCGGGCAGAAAGAGCACCAACATTCTCTGTTTCTATCAGATTACAGTGCTCGAGCCATGAACCTGCTGCTGAAGGAGGAGATTGTGAACAAGCCTGTGGAGACCATGAAGCTGGCTGTGCCTGCAGGGATCTACACTCTGCAGAACAATCTGCTCTATGTTGCCTTATCCAACCTGGACGCAGCCACCTATCAGGTTACACATCAGTGTGCTGGTTCAAATTCACTGTGTTCAGATAAACTGTGGTGCTCTGTGATTCAGCTTTTTGTTTTTAAAGTCAACAAGAACAGTGTTTTTTCAGGTCAATGTGTGTTTACTACCCTCTAAGAAATATGGGATTAAATTACACATTCRCTTTATGCCTGCTTTGCTCTGCTAACAAGTTATTTAGTGTATGAAATGATCAGGATCTAATTTTAGGGATTAAAATAAATCATGTCATTGCAACTGTGTCATTGATAGTTTTGAGATATTTTTCTTGTTTTTACGAGAGTTTTGTTGTTATAAGGAGACACAGCTCAACAATAGTTTTGTCGTGTCCCATTTCTATGCTTCTGATAAAGCGAGTACACTGCAATGTTGTAATTTCACCTCAGCTGCTACTTTGAGGAGCTGCTGGTTGAGGCTGTTTTAAAATACAACCATTTTTACAAATTTTCCAGCAAAACATTTATCAGTGTTGCCAACTTAGCAATTTTGTTGCCATATTTAGCGTATTTTCAGACCCCTCTAAGGACAGGTGACAAATCTGGCAACTTTCTGGGGCCTCATGCATAAAGGAGTGCGCAGTTTTCACACTAAAAGTTGACGTATGGACAAATTTAGAAAAGTGTGCCGCACCAAAATATTCAGATGCATAAAACCATGCTCATGCAGGTTCCTGCGCACCTTTCCTTTATTCATCCCAATGAATGTGGAACTTAGCGCACCTGAGACTCCTCCCCTGACACGCCTCCATTTAATTATGTAAAATAGAGGTAAATGTGTCCAGCGTGTGAGACTCTCCTCAGATTATCCTCTCTGTGGGATCAGAAAGGATATTTAGATGCAGTAAAATTATACATTTAATGGAGAATGAGTGAGAAAACTGTCAGTGGGGTGTAAAAATGTGTTTGCCACTTACAAAGGTGTGTGTGGGTGTTGGTGTGTACGCCCGTGTGCTGTTGTTTTCAGCAGCGCATGAGGCTGACAGACATTTCCACCTTTACACGTCTTTAATAAATGACTGTAAACACAGAGGAACTGATGAGTTTGGTAGACCGTAGAAAAATATTTATTAGTTGTAGTTAAGGAATGAGTGACTCGCAGCGCTGCGTGTTTCTGCCGCGGTGTGGGACTGGGAACAGCTGACATTGATCCATAAACTACGCACAACTTTATGCAGCAATCTATTGCGCCTTGTGGAGCTGAGGAATCATCACAGCTGAGCTGTTCTGAATTCATATGCTGAGTTGACAACGTTTTTTTTTCTCAGTTAGAATTAAAAATGTTAGAAAATTCACACACATTTTATTTTCCTCAGCTGTGTGTGCTCCGCAGGCCTGCGCTCTGCGTGTGTTTCCAACTACGTGACAACAATATAAAAACAGTTTACAGYTTACAGACTGGACTGAGGTTCTTTTGATCATTTTTAGACTGCTCTGTTTTCTTGTCTGAGGTTAAATGCTTTTCAGTCCAAAGGTTCAGTTTCATGATCGTTCAGTTTAAACAATAAAATCTCTAACTAAAATAAAAATCTATACCGTGTTCAGACGCTCCTTACATCCAGAAACCAGAACAGAGTCAGATTTCTGTGGATTCAGGTCAGATTCATGACTTTGTGGGTTAAAACTGTCGACTGAAAAACTTTGCGTGGCTGCCGCACACTCTCACGGCAGGTGAAAAGTGTGCGTAAATAAATGCAGAGTTTCATGCAACGTTGGTTTTAATACATCCCAACGTGGGCGTAGAACCTGGCGCACATAACTTTTTTATGCATACGCACCGTTTATACATGAGGTCCCATGTGTTCCTGGAGAAAGCCCCCCTCTCCTTCAGCTCGTCTGTGGATTTCTCTGAGTTATTAGAACTCTTCGACCTGCAGCAGTGTCTCACTTCAAACCCAGATTTGGCGACTCATTGTTTACCTGCTGAAAACTAGACTTGGTTTTCATCCCTTCTGTGTTGCATCATGCCTGCAGACCACTTCAGTGCCTACTGGAGAGGGCTCACCTCAACGTGGCCAAAAAGACCTCATCTCCAGACTGCAGCGGTGCAGACAAATCCTTAGAGAGAACAGCCAAAAGAGAAAAAGTACAAACTAGRGTTAGGTGATATTGCTGGGTTGCAATCACGTGATTCCAATAACGCGCAAATGTCCGATGGGGACAGGAAGTGATTTGCTCTGGTTCAAAACGCAAAGAAATGGATCTGAGCGAGTACACTAATGCCCTAAAGGAGCTGTTGCAGATGAGATTTCGCAAAAAAAATCTGCATATATTTAGGATCTGATCCATATTGTGTTAATAAAAAAGACTTGTTATATAATCTGAATGATTTACTGGCGTCGAGGCGATCAACRTAAACTATCTGGTGCTGCAGAGCTCATTATACGACGAGCAAACGAATGAAAGCTTTCAAAAGCCTCAAAGCTACAATGATTTAGTTTCAGGTTGGGTCAAACATTTAGGATCCAAAGAAGCTTTAAATGTCTGTCGACTTGTTTCTTCCCGGGTGAGTAGAGTTGTGTTATTTTAAGTTATTAGCCTATGATAACAATGCTATCGCTAACCCTAATAACGAGTTAACCCCTGTTATTTCTATATGCTTGGATCTACTTGTAAATAATTTATTTAGCTTCTTTAAACCCAAATTCAAGTAACTATCGAATAAAATATCTGAAAATATGATTTAAACGTTACAATCCTGTATTGTAAGAAAGTGGTCGCCGCAAACTCTGTTGTTCGTTTCCACACCTCCTGTTTTAGCTGTAGATTGTTGATCACACTACTTTACAAACAAAAAAACAACAACAAACAAACTGATAGTTCTCCCAGTAAGAGTGGTTGCAACAGCCGTACACTGCACAGAATTTAGACATTTTAACACTGAATCAGCAGAAGGAAGCAGGGCTGTGTTTACTTCCTCCCCCATCTGCATTTTATGAGGTTGATACTACATCATGTGCAAACCAGCAATCGATAAAAAAATTAACCACCAGTTGTAGCATTTAGCCGATAAGATGACAATTTAACCCTCATGTTTTTGACTCTATCAATCTTGTGTTCTAAAATTATTCTTACAAATCCTCAGTCAAACTAACTTCTTCATTTTAACAGGTTAAATAGTAGCTGTGAATTTAAGCATACTTTTTCCACAATGTGGAGTGGCAGCATGTCTTTAGTAATGCCACGAGCTCACTGGTGTGCTTGACAGCAAAAGTGTGACACACAGAAAAAATATGTCACATGGAACTAKTTATAGTAATTGCAAAGTGGAAAATATTAATTGGTGATTATTTGTACTAGGTGTGACTTTGCACAAACCTAGTACAAACAAAAAGAAACTAAAAATGAGAAATAAATGTTTTTTGCTGCAGTCCTGAGAAAAAGAAAGATCACCCTGACTCTCATGGTCTCTGCAGGTCACATATCAGCTGAAGATCCTCACCACGGCGCTGTTCTCCGTCTCCATGCTCGGGAGGAGGTTGGGCCTCTACCAGTGGCTCTCCCTGCTCCTCCTCATGGCTGGGGTCACTCTGGTTCAGGTACCCGCAGACCCCGACACTCCTAGAACATCAGTGATGCTCTGGTGATGGCCCCTCTGAGCAGGCACTGGGCCAGTCATGTATCATAACTGGTGTTTTACTCCCACAGTGGCCCGCAGAGTCTGGGGGTGACTCAGAGCAGAAGGTGCTGACCGCCAGCTCCCAGTTCATCGGACTCATGGCCGTGCTGATGGCCTGTGTGTCAAGTGGTTTCGCTGGAGTTTACTTTGAGAAGATCCTTAAGGAGACCAAACAGAGCGTGTGGGTCCGTAACATACAGCTGGGTGAGTTTTGGTTAAAAGCTCTTTATGTCTGTGGGACACAAACACAAAATAATACTGAGTACCTAAAGGGACATWGAAGGGAAAATAAATAAATAAAACTGTCTCGTGAGCACCAGGTGCTTTCCCCTGCACATTAGTTATTTTTATGAATAAATACCTGTTCAAGGCTGGTGTTTCCCTGTCAGCCCAAACTGGAAGTTTAGCTCAGTTATGTTAGTATTTTTGTTTCAGTAAACCCAGCAAGCCCAAAATAATCTGAGATCCTGAGGTATCTGGTACAGCAGAAAGTATACAAGAATATATTCGGTGCAGAAAGTTTTTTCTATTTATTTTTCCTTCAATGTTCCTTAAGATAAAAACTACAGGAATAAAAGCTGAAACTGAATCCTGAAGTTCAGTCAGGACCAAAACTACAATGAGCTCAACAAAAGATACTAAAATCAGGAATATGTTAGCTAAATGCTAATTGGCAAAAGCCATTAACAGAAAGTTAGTTTTAGAACAATAAAACCAGTTAATAAAAGCTAAAATTAGCAAAACAATAACAAATTACAATTTTAGAACCATAACTAACGACTGTTATTAGCGAACTATTATTAAAGAAAATTATTAGCACAATAGCTAATAGCTAAAACCAGCACACCATTAAGTAAACATCCAGCATCTAACAGGCCCACATTGTAAATAATCATTTGTTCTTAATGTTCTGTCTGGGTAAATAAAGGTTAAATTAAATTAAAAATAAAAATACAAAAAAAACCTCAAATCAGCAGAACAGTAGCTAAAAACTAAATTAGACAAAACACTAGCTAACAGCTAAAGCTAGTAAAACAATTTCTGAATGAAAAAAACTGGTTAGGAAAAAAGTAGCCAAACAGTAAAGTGTATGAATAATAACCAATAGATAAAACCAGTAGATTAGGAGTTATAAGCTAAAATGAGTAAATCAGTAGATTAAGGCTAGAATTAGCTAAACCGGAGCTAAAAGCATAAATTATAAAGTGGTGGCTAAAAGCTAAAACTAGTAAAACAGTTTCTAACAGTTTAACTGGTAAAACAGTCRCCAACAATACAATAATTAGAACAGAAGCTAAAAGCTAAAATCGGTGGATCAGTAGATAAAAGCTGGACATATTAAAGTGGTAGCTAAATGTTTAAAGAAGCAAACATTTATTAGAATGGTAGCTAATAGCTAAAACCAGCACAATAAAAGATAGAAGCTAAAATTAGAAAAAAAAAAAAACCAGTAGCTTAAAGCTAAAATGAAGTAGATTTGAATGGGCATCAGGCTTTCAATTCATTTTAGTGATTAAAAAAATGTTAAATATTTTCACATTTTATACATCACAAAAACCAAAACTCATAACAGTTACTGTATGTCTTGAACGATCTGAACATTTTAATMTATGTAGGAATGAAATAGCTGCAAGTACCGGTATGCTAAAGTAGTTTGTCCATAAAATGTTCAGAGACTGTAAACAGTAAAACATGCTGACTCAGCGTTCATGTGAACGAGTCATTCCAGATGCATTCTTCATGCATCAACAGATTGTTTCAGATTCTCCAGTGTTGCATGAGATCATACATGACATCATTCACAAGGTTAGACCCAAACAGATGTAACACCATCATTTCTCATCAAACTTTAACTTAGTTTAAAACTCGTGAATAAAAAATAGAAGGCGATATTTATTCCTTGAAGAATGATAAGTCTTTTCTCATGGGATGTTTCAGCTGCCATCACTCAGACGTGTTGGGCATGGGTATCAGGTTTTCTAATCAGTCATTTGATTAAATCACTGCRATCATGTCCGCTGGCCTACGTTTAAGTCCTCACCCTGTCATCTAATCAAATCTGACAGATCCCTCTTATTTTCATTTGTAGCTGAATCCTCAGCAACAGATGAACTCTATCTGCTGCTAATAGCTGTGCCAAAACAAACTGGCTTTTCAAGCTCAACGGCTCAGTTGAAATTTCCTGCTACTAAAAGTTCAAACTGTTCTCTCTTTACAGTTGAATCATACAGTTTGAAACTATGTAAGAACAATGAGAAGAAAAGGTGTGGGTGGTGGTGAGGTGGGGGTGTGAAGTGACGTGACACAGACTCAGATTTCATTTTTGTTCAACAGAAACCTCTCAGCCTAATGATATTTACTGTCACAAACCCAGCTCAGCCATGCGTCCAGAGCAAACGAACCTGTTGTGGTTCAAAGTTATACTTTCCATGCTTTGGGAATACTGTTGCTTCAGAGATGATGTTTATTCTGAGCAAATCTTCTTAAAACAACTTTAATATCATAATCTTTTTAAACCGTTCTACTGCTGTCAGTCTCAAATGGTTACTGCCTCAGAAATATTATAAAATTGTTAAAAGGGACCACAAATACTGCTGCTTGTAAATAACCATTGAATTCTCTGTACATAATTAAGTGATGAGAAACTGGTGATGAAGAGGTTTACAAAAAAAAACTTTTGTGTGAAACTGTTGCAGATTAGGGTGGACTATCCCAATAAGGCTGTGTGTGTGTGTGTGTGTGTGTGTGTGTGTGTGTGTGAGGGGGGGTGTTTCTACTTGTTTCTACTACAGAGAGAGGACCATTTGCGCCATAATTACTATCAAAGTGAGGTCTATGATGTAAAGTAAGGACCTCTTCAATGTCCTCACTTTGTTTGCAGCTCTGCTGTGCTTTA